CCCGGAACAGCTTCCTGCCAGTGGTATCCTTCGTTGTTGGATTGCCAGATTGTATGATCGGCTAGTCGAACGAGAATGGTCTGAGAGAAAGATTCGAAGTAAGTTAAATCCCACTTGGAATGGAGAAAAAGGCATACCGAGGAATCCTTGAAGTACGCATACTGCACAATGGCAGCAGGGAAATTATACTATTCAATCAAAAGGTCAACAACTCCAACACACCGCAACTCTCAGAGAGAAAAAAACGGACCAGCACATGCGCGATCTCCCCAGGCGGTGGTTGCGCTTCCGTTGCATACAGAGTCAGCACCCAGCACAGCAACGCAGATCAGTCCACTCACCTTGCGCACACTTCCTCTGCACGGGCTTATCTTTCTCGACCCCGCCGACGCAGGTATCGCCCGATATCTTCCTATATCCCGAGGACCCCTCATACGTCGCGTCTGCCTGGGCTTCCCTGCACACTCCGGGCGGCACCGGCTCGAGGCCCACCAAATCGCACTTGTCGCCGACGCGCACGAAGCCAAAGTCGCTGCAGACACCAACTCCCATCAGCAGTCGCATCAGAAGGTGCTGGAATCGACGCACCATTCGTAATCCGCATCTGTACACTTGCAGTCCTCCTCGTGGCCCACGGGATCCTTGTACTTCTGGCCGACGTAGCAGTCCACGTCCGGTTTTCTGCGTTTGTACCATTGCTAGCGGGCGCAAGTCCATCAGCTCCACCAGCCGCAAGTATTTAAAAAGAACAGGACAGCAATGTGCACCTTGTGTCCAATCAAACACTCCGAATTATGCGGGCGCGCATACCATTTCTCGAAATCGTACTCCCCGCACTGCCGCCCACGCGTCTTCGCAAAGTTCAAATGCACGACCACCACTTTGCCCACGTCCTGCCGCTGGTCTTGTTTAGCAACTTGGCCGAGCAATAGGAATTTCTGGGATGTAGAATCCGGCAGCGTAACGAGGCCGCGGGCGGCGAGCTTGACGCCGAAGTTATACGTTTGCCTGAATCACGTCCATAGCATCAGTATCCTGGATAGACACGAGGTGAATAGGATGCGCACCATGATTTTCCAAGATCCAACGAATACTTGACGCTGTCCGTCGATTCCTCGTCGTCAACCGCCACGAGAATGCTGCCCTGGTCGCCAAACTCATACTTGTGCGCCCCCCGCGCGACCATGCGCCACGTCAGCCCAGCATCCGTGCTCAAGAAGGTGTCGCTGTCCCTGTACGGCTGCAGGTGCTCGCCGACGCTGCCCACGCCCATCACGAAGCCCGGCGCGGGCGACGAGAAGATGCGGCCAAAGTTGTGCGGCGTCGTGACGGAGTGCAGGTGCAGCGCGCATTTGTCGAGATCGGACGTGTTGCAGTCGATGTCCTTCCCATCGACGTCCTGCGCCGGGCCCTTGAGCGGCGCCCAGGTGCTCCCGTCGTTGAACGTGATCAGCGTCTTGACCCGTTTCTTCGCCCCGCGCGCCTCCACATCCTGCGCATTGGCGACAACATTCGCGAGCCCGACGCCGTCGACGCCGTATATCCGCTCGTAGTCGACGTACCCAAAGTCGTTCCGGTTCGTGTCTTTGAGGCTCTCGACGAAGAACGTGCCGTTGGAGTTGCTCACGAACAGCGTGCCGATCGGGCTCTTGTTCTGCAGCACGACGTCCACGGCGAGCGAGTGCGTCGTCGACTCGAGCATCGTGTACGCGTTCTCGCGGAGCTGCGCCGACGTCGCGTGCGGGAAGCGCGCCTTCGCCCACGTCTTGGTGTCCACCGTCACGTACAGCAGCATCTCGCCGTCGCTGCGCGAGACGTCCTTCAGCGCGACGACGGCGAATTTGGAGACGATGGCGAACGCGACAACGCCGCGCGCGTTCTTCCCGATGCCGAGGTCCTCCACCTTCTTGTCCGTCTTGAAGAAGTCGGTGCTGGAGTAGAGGCGGCTGTTCATGAGGTTGTGGGCGCCGTTGGCGCTCGTGCCGTCGTAGGCGACGCAGTAGATGAGGTCTTCGTGCGCTTCGTGCTTGAAGTCATTTGTGCTGTGCGCGAACTGGCACCGAGTTGTATCTATGAGGAGACGCTCCACGTTGTCGCTGAAGGCTTCCTTGGTGTAGAATGTCTGCGCAGCACCTCAGCGCGGGTGCGTGACAAGGCAAATGGACACGTACTTGGTCGCGGCAGACTGAGCCGTAGCCGTTGCGCTCGCAGGAGGTACCCTCGATACAGGATATAGCCCCACTTTGCGGGGTCGACGTGGAAAGAAGAGGGCGGGCGACGGCCGCTGGGGCAGTGGCACATCGAAAGGCCGCCATGTTTTGCCTCGGTCCTCCGTTCGATAGTGTGTTTTACCGTCCGTAAGCGCGAAAGCCTGCGCAACTATAAGCTTGGAAAGGGTGAAGAATATACTGCTACTTACGTATCGATTGTTCGAGGGGTGTTCGAATACCATGAGCACCTCGCCCTTTGGAATGCCATCGGCAAGGTTGAACGTCTTGCCCTCGTCGAGCGAGACATATAGATTGCCCTCCATTGAATCATGGTAGATTACAGACTAAAAGGCGCAGTCAGCAGGCGCTATCGCGAATATATGCGGGCAGCGCACCGTCGTATCATCGAGGAAGAATAGCCGCGCGGGAAGATAGTTGAAGCTGCTGACAGCGTGCTCAGGCTTCTCCTGAGCCGCGACGAGCAGCATGGAAAGAGACAGGAAGAGGCCAGCGCAGAGCGCCGAGAGCCCCCATCGTCGTCGTGGCATGGCAGTTGGTGGTTGGTGGTTATGTGACGTCTGCTGCGCTCGTCGTCCGTGGCGGTGACGAAGCGGCACAGCCATCGTTCCCACGAATCACGCAGCGGCGGCGCCTCGTCAGGCCTCAGGCCTCGTTCTGGCCCACGAACGACGCTGAATGACGACGCGAATGGCTCGGTAGCAAGGAGGCACCGATGACGACGACAGCGACCGACATGACCAGCCCGTGGCGCCGATGCGAGGACGGCGTACTCGCTGGCGGCCGAAACCACTTTTCTCCCTTCCTCCCGAAGAATGCTGGAACGTGCATCTCTGTGCTTCAAGAGGGGGTCGACGCGAACATGCTATTAGCTTGCTGCGTTCGGTTGAGGATCTCTATCCTCGACACTGATCACGTCGGAGCGGCTGGGGTCATCATCCATGGTTGCGCTGAACAGGCTAATTAATGAAGCCTGGAGGACAATGCTAGTCGACTCCCTCTCTGTGTTACGAGCCGCATCTTGCAACCTCTACTAGCCAGCCAACCAATGCATGCGACGGCGAACTACTACCTCATCTATTTCGTCATCTACTTTTGCTAACTGAACCGAATGACAAGATGCTGGATCTGTATCACGTCCCGCCGAATTTTGGGCCAAATAAATATCTCGCCTCTCAAGTTCCTGGACACCTGCTCCAAATTGTCCAGTCGGTACGTTGTCATTATTCATTTCACATACTGATATCCTTCAAGTTCCTTCATCTCTGTCCCTGAGAACAAGGGAGCTTGGCGACGATGAAGAGCTCTGGGGTTTCTAGTCAAACAGGGTACGTAATATTTCTTGCGGTTCAACGTGAATCGCGTACAGGTTGTCTGTTAACTTCCCATGTCTAGAATTCGGAGCTCTGGATGAGCAGGCGTCGATCCTGAATTCAATGTACCGTAGCTTTGCTTTCAATTGCAATCAGCGCCATAGTTTAGATTCCACGGTTCCCAGGATACCCTAACAAGGCTCCTCAACCGTTCAGTACGGCTCATGCTGGAACCGCGAGTAGTTTTCTTACATTTAAATACGATGGGGCTACATCAAACAAGCCTTCTACTCGAACCTCGATGTTCGCAGCTCAGAAAGAGAGCTACTCAAACACATGGGCGACTGTGTTCGGCGATCGCACTTTGACTTGGCGCCCGACAATCATAGTTTGTATATTCTGCATTACTTAGTAAAACAGTACTTATACCACTTCAAACTTGGAGCCGGACCTACAGTTGAGTTCGTTGACTTTATTTATATATATCATGTATATCTAGATTCTATTATCACGCAGCCTTTGCCATGGACCATGGGGTAAGGCTCCAACCGTACACTATACATTACTGTATATATACGGTAAATACCATATATGTATATGTATATGTATACGCATTTTGGGGATACCTGCGTATACTGTAGTTATACTATATACAATTTTGTATATGGTTGGTATATAGTATTCACAAAATATATTTCTGGGCCCCTGCTCTCCGCCGCCGCCGCAGTGGCCGCACTCCTGGCAGGCATGCCCATGCTCACAAGCACTGCAAGCATCTCCAGTGTGCTCTTCTCTAGGCAGCCGGCGCGAGTATAGTATGACTTTCTGCTCCTCGGCCCCCCACCCGCGCTGGCGGCGGCGCCGCAGCTGCAGATGATGGTGCAGATGCTGTACCACTCAAACTCATTCGCCTCCCAGCTTGCTCCCGGGTTCCCGCTGCGTCGGAGGAGAGCGCCATGGGCGCCGCAGGCAGTGAGCTGAACTATGTGGCGAAGTATCGCGCACGCAGGTGGAGCTATTTGGCGCTGGCAGCTCACGCGCACACCTGGCGGGCCGCGGCATATAATTATGATGCGTGCGGGACGGGCACGGAATGGCTGGCCAGATGGGAGATGCAGAAAGAAAGGTATAGTAATATATTGTGACTTAAATGCATGGCTCTTTCAAGGCTGAAGTGGTCTATTTGACGTTAACAAGCCTCTCAAGTGCAAAAAAGCATGGAGAACTTGAGTAATTGGTATTTAATTTATTTCATCCTACAACCCTATAGTAAAAACCATATAACTGTATATATACGGTATGTATACAGTATACAACCATATCCGTATATATATGCCATCGGCCGTATACGTATAGTGTACGGTTGGAGCCTTACCATGGGGCCGGGATGGGCCATGGCAAATTCTCTAATTTCAAAGGCCGTGTAGTAGTGCAAGAAAAAAACGTGAGCAGGACGCAGTGGCCAACGTGGGGATCGAACCCAAGACCTTCGCGTTATTAGCACGACGCTCTAACCAGCTGAGCTAGTCGGCCTGCGGTGGCTAGTGGGTGCCACAAATTCCCGGCAGGGAGGCAGCGCAGAGGCAGCGTAGAAAGCAAGAATACGCCCCAGCGCCGCGGGGCCAACTCATGGGTTCTGCAAGTGCTATGTGACCGTTTACCAGCACATCAACGCAGTTTGAATACAAAAAGAATATGAAATCAAAGCATGGCAGGATCTGCTAGTAGGTTAAATGCAAGTTAAATGGATGTCTCTCGGCGGTCTACCTTCATCATACCTTATTTCCTGAGTCACTGCAAAGTCACTGAGTGCTAAAAATTTGTTCAAGATTCGTTCATCTTCCTGTAAAGCTTGCAAAGCATTATCTGATCAGAACAGATGTTGGTAAAATGTCTGACTCTCAGGATCGCGCGTCTTGCTACACAATCTTTTCGTGACTTTTATTCTAATTTTAATAGCGCATTACGCACAGACCAGCATGAGTGGAAGTCCGTCAGATAATTATGGTTGCATCCATGTCTAAAAGATTAACATAAATTTATATATTTTACTGTGCTCATGAGTAATACTTTGTAGATATACAACCAAACTGTATGCGAAATCTATGGCGTTTAATCTGTACAAAAAAAAAATCCCACACCTATTCTGATATCCCCAGAAACTTGGTGCATTTTTTCGTGTTTTCCTCGGTTTGTGAGGTCAATTCAAGAAGTCAGGTTGGGGCTCAAAGTTGCGGGATTTTGAAGAGTTTCCGCGACTTTCCAACCAAATCCCGCGACTTTCATCCCGCGACTTTTGCACAAGTCAAATATCTCCACTTCTTATAATAAGATACCTCCCCCATATTAAGATTTTAAGCTATGTTTTTTCCGCTACTTTTGAGAGCCTACAGTCCCGCGACTTTCAGACGTTCAGCAATCCCGCGACTTGCGAGACTGGCAGATCTCTAGCCGACGGCGATCAATCCGGCACATCAAGCCGATACCAGCACTGCCACACAGCGCGTCACCTTTCACTGTCCACAGCCCGTCGACGATGGACATGCTCTCTTGTGTGTTGCTTGTGTGGTATATTCTTATAAAAACAACAGATAATCTAATGGATGGTAAAGCTGGTTTAATTTTTTGGGTGTAAACCCAGTAAATTGAATTTTAAATTATATTATTAAAACACTAAACATATTAGACTGACGTCGAAGATAATTTTCTTTTATTCAAGTGTGGACCGCAATAAACCGGGTCTGTATTAGTTTACATTACAAGATAGTAGTGGCTGAAAGGCCGGTGTACTCTCAGGCCTTACTGAAATCAGACGGAAGTGACAGGACAAAAATGTTTTTATTGCACGTAGTAAGAGACAGTAAGCAAAATACAATGAATGGATTTTATGGGGAAAGGACACACCTTCGTTGCACGTAGTAAGAGATATGGCAACGAAGGTGGGCGAAAAAAAGTTAAATATTTAGAGTCATGCAATGAAGAGGGATCTGGTAACGAAGACAGTGGAACTGCCATTGCGATCATGGGTAGCGCTCAACGCTAGTGTGGCAGTGCTGGTATCGGCTTGATGTGCCGGATTGATCGCCGTCGGCTAGATATGCACCAGTTTCGCAAGTCGCGGGATTGCTGAACGTCTGAAAGTCGCGGGACTGTAGGCTCTCAAAAGTAGCGGAAAAAATTTAGCTTAATCTTAATATGGGGGAGGTATCCGGTTTTAAAAAGTGGAGAAATTTAACTTGTGCAAAAGTCGCGGGATGAAAGTCGCGGGATTTGGTTGGAAAGTCGCGGAAACTCTTCAAAATCCCGCAACTTTGAGCCCCAACTTGATTTCCTGAATTGACCTCACAAACTGGAGAAAACACGAAAAAATGCACTAAGTTTCTGGGGATATCAAAATAGGTGTGGGATTTATTTTTTGTACAGATTAAACGCCATAGAAATCAGGAATCCAAAATTATCCAATTCTAATTTTATTTAAGAAACTGGCAAAATCAGCTGTGAAACGCCCGAACAATATCAGGTATACTCCCCTTCATGAATCACAAGCCCGACCCGCGGATCGATCTGCGACCAACTCGTCCTGACCTGAGGTCTACTATCAGGAGGATGCACAATATTCAACGTCAACGCTCCATCCTCTACATACACCGCAAGCAACGCCGGGAAGTCTAGTTCCGCCGGGTGCATGAGCTCCGCGCAGAACTCCCGCAGCGGTTCGACGCCGCCGCCGTCCACCGCACCCGGCTGACACCTGCTCGCGCCCATCCGACGCTGCAGGAAAGTCAGGACATCATGGTCGCTGTTTTGCGACTTCACCAGTCTCAACGCCTGGAGCCGCGGACAATACGTGGAGACACCACCGAACGGCGTCAGCAGGTCCAGGAACGCCTTCCCGATGTTGAATGATTCCGGTAGATTTAGGTATTGTGGTGCTCTGGATTCATCGGTAAGATGTGTCAAATTCGGAACAAGCGCTAAGACGGTGGTAAGGTCGGCCAGGGTGTAGTAACTGAAACTCGTGGTCAGATGTTGTAACTCGCCGTGGGTCCGAGCGAGGAGAGTTATCAACGGGGATGTTCGCTGGTTCGAAGGGGGCTCCATCGCGTGATAGGATACTCCACGAAGCGCGGACAGGTCGGTAAACCATTCAAAGAGAGTTGAGAGCGCCTGGCATTCACCGATGATGCTCAACGACTTGAGATACGGTAACGGAAGGGATATAACGCCGGATCGGCTGGTAGCATCGGGGAAATCTAAATCGAAAACCTCTAAGGAGCAGTGAATGAGTCTCCTGCATGTGCTAAAGATGAAATAGGCCTCCTCGATAGAGGCCATATCTTCGTCCAATCGATAATGATAAGACTTCTTAGTATCCATCGTAAGGTATGACAGGTTTGACCACAAGTCGCTAGACACGCTATTCGGATGGAAAGGGATGTAGGTGATGTCCAGGCTGTACAGCGAGATTGAATTTAGAAAGTTGCTGGATGACCATTCCAACCCGTCTTCTACAGACAGGTCGGCAGAGAAGGATAGTCGAAGGTGTTTTAGCATAGGGACAGATGTTTTGTGTATAGATGCGATCCGATTAAATAACTTTCCAGGGGGGATGTACAATTGCAAGGCGTTCCAGCGATGCGAGACAGATAGCATGATATCAAGATAAGATTGAATGACGCTATGGACGTTGTGCGATTTAGATTCGGCATCAAGACAGATGAACGAGAGGGAAAGCGGGCACGCTCCAGACCGCTGGATCCAGTCCTTGACCGCGACTTGATGTTTTTTGAGCTTCTCCTGATCGCCTTTAATCAACCTCCTGGCCTCCTCATTGGCACGCGGTGGGTGTGTCATGGGCGACGGATAAGGAATATGGAGGGACGCCCATAGACTCGGCGTGCTGTACACCACAGATCGCCAACGTCGGCATACGCGGCCCAACAAAAGGGGTGCCTCTCTGGAGCTCATGACTGCGTTGTGCTGATCTGGGAGACAAGTTAGGAAGATCTCGCGCAACATATCATCGGGGAAGTAGTGGAAGGCGGTAAGCCAACGCGTGTGTTGTTGTATCTCGTCAGCCAGACTGTCCCGCTCCAGTTTTAGAGGTTCCATTATGCGCTCCATCTCGCTTATCTTCTCGTTCAGCACCAATAGTCTTTTCTTGGGCTCCACGAGGAGAGCATGGATTTGATCTCTGTCGAGCGAGGAAGGAACATAATTCGTGCGAAGTTCGTTTGTGAACGGGGTGGCGAATGTTGGCTGAAGGAGTCGGATCAGACTTATATCAGCTGGGAAATTGGCGCTGACGCAACTGAAGCTCACCATACAGGTTATGCAATTTGAACTAACAGAAAGAAACGTTGATCGCAGCAGGCTGGCGCGCTGAGCGCTGAGCCGGAGGGGTTAGTGAAGCATTGAACAAGCATTAATGATGTTATTGATGCTGTACTTCGCAGATTTGTCGGCCGACTAGCTCAGCTGGTTAGAGCGTCGTGCTAATAACGCGAAGGTCTTGGGTTCGATCCCCACGTTGGCCATCAAAATCTTTTGAAGACATTAATTTTTGTGAGGCTGACTGAACAGTAAAAACTTAAAAGTTAAAAGCAGTGAGAACTTCAGAGCTGATGTCTGTCTGTCATCTGAGAAGTTTGAACATTCAAACTTCAAACTTGGCCGAACTTGAAGTCGTTGGCTTGGGTATATGTGGTCTCGAGGTATGGTGCTCGCATTTTTGATTCGCGAAGCAAACAAATCTCATCAAAAACACATTATCAGAATTCGTTACTCTACGCACAAACGGGGCAGGTATGTATCGTAGTGGGGGGAGGACATGGTAGGCTAAGTGGGTGGGGCATGGACATGTGTAAGCTAGGTAGGTGTAAGTGGGAATAATAAGAACCGAAGGTGGATGGAAATACAGATCAGGCAGGGCTTTAGGTTGTAGGTAGGGTAAGGTAGGGTGAGGTAGGGTAGGGTAGGGTAGAACGTCTGTGAGTTGATGCTGATGAATGGAACGCAACAGCAGCAGCAGCTAGGCCGCGAAGAGCCAGTAAAACTGATTTTGGAGAACGAATCGGTATAACCAGATACTTCAGGAGCATTTTTGGGAGCTCGGCCGTCTGCGAGGATACGAAAAACTGGAGAGGGGGGTCATTAGATGCGTTAATACGGGTTCAGTCGCAGAGGGAGTAGGGGGGGGGAAGGTATTATAGGGATTAAGATATCAGATGCAATGTCGAGATGGAAAAGAAATTTTTGGAGGAAATTGTAGTCCGGTGATTTGAATAAGAGCTGGAAAAAAAAGAGGCGGAAAAAAAGAGGCGGGTGTAGCATAGAAAGATGGATCATGATACGGGAGTGGATACGCGGCCCACAGCCCGAAAAGCCGAAGAATGGAGAATGGGCATCACGTTGACGCCAGGTCGACGAAACGCGCAGCAGCAGAGAAAGGGGGAGATAAGACGCGGGGCCATCGGCGCCCGCGGAAGTCGTGATGGACATTGGACGTTTTGATTTGAACCATGGACACTTCC